GTCTCCTGCAAACTCCACTCCCCTTTCGCTCCTCTTTATTCCTCTGGGAGGGGCCATTCACCGTCCCCCTGTGGCCTTGCTCCCAAGTCAACCCCTGTTCTTTTGCTGTTCCCTTCGTTTGGCCATTCTGTGCATGCGCACACTGGGAACAGGCTCCAGCTGTTCATCTGCCCCACTGATCTCCAACTTCGAAGGCAGCTGATAACTGTCAGACGGCTTTGGCCCCCTCTCTGCCTCCGACACAGAGCCCTCATCAGAGCCTTCCCCAGACTCCAGGGCTGGCCCAGGTTCCTCCCCAACCATGTTGCTGGCAACAGCAGCAAGGACCGGGGAACTGATTCAGGGGCATGGCCAGCCTGCTGTCCCTACCAGTTTGGTGATCCAGGCCCAATTTCCACCACCAGTTTGCCTGAACCAGTGCGAACCGATAGCAACCCACCTCTGGTTGGAGCCCCATTCAGCCATGATGGGGCACAATCGTATTCAAGGAGAAGGTTTAAATAGTGGCCATGAAATTATTACGCCAACCCGTCACCAGTGCCGTCCTTAATGTCTTTTTGATTATTTTTTGTTGCTGTAATTATAATCTGCCGAACTTTAAATGTTGAACTGCTCTGGATTATAACTAACACCTTGGGCGCAATAAAAGATGAACCTCTAGGCTGCAGGCTCTGCAGCGGAGCTGAAGAATTTGATCCTCCACTCAGAAATCTGAGGAGCAACTTACACATCAATTAAAACAAACCAGCGACATTCCTCATACCATTTCACTGGTCAAGTAGTCCTTGACTTTCCTGCTACACACACACCATTTGCCACTCAATTGCCGGCGTGCACTTCAGCCATCGACTTTATGAATTGCACGCCTGTACCGTCCAATAGCCAGAAGCCCCCGGGGGTCACGCAGAAGAGGTTAAAAAATGCATAATCAAACGGAAAAGCTGTGCTAACGCAACACAGGGGCTCAAATCAATTAAAGGCTGGGGGAGTGCATTGGAAAAAACACAACCTTGGATAGATAAATGAGAAAGGTATGGGGAGAGAGGGGGGGGGAGAAAAAAAGGAAGGAAGGATGGAGGGGGAGTGGAGGGTGAGAGGGAAGGAAGGACGGAAGAAGAAGTGAGGAAGGAAGGAAGGAGGGTGAGTGGAGAGGACAGTGAGGGAGGATGGTGGGAGGGAGGGAAGAAAGGAAGGAGGGTGGGTGGAAGGGATAGGAAGGAAGGGAGGGAGGGAGGGAGGGAGGAAGGAAGGAAGAAGTGAGGAAGGAAGGAGGGTGAGTGGAGAAGACAGTGAGGGAGGATGGTGGGAGGGAGGGAAGAAAGGAAGGAGGGTGGGTGGAAGGGATAGGAAGGAAGGGAGGGAGGGAGGAAGGAAGAAGTGAGGAAGGAAGGAGGGTGAGTGGAGAAGACAGTGAGGGAGGATGGTGGGAGGGAGGGAAGAAAGGAAGGAGGGTGGGTGGAAGGGATAGGAAGGAAGGGAGGGAGGGAGGAAGGAAGAAGTGAG